ATATACCTGATGGAGCAATTCACTTGAGGAATTACAGAGCCTCTAAGAGGAGTTAAAGTGCCTGCAACCCAAATTTTTTTTCTCACACTTTATCAAAGCTATTTTTTTCTTCTTGCTATGAGTAGGAAACTCATCTTAGGGGTAGGGAATGTCAGCCTGCTACTATTTAGAGACAACCTGACCATAGCATAAAAATATTTAAAGAGACATTATTACATATACTACCCCCATAGCATATGTAATTAATGTCTATTTTATATGTACATAATATAGAGACATTATTACATATGTACATATAAAAACATTAATATTTAAATAAGTGGAATCACTATAAAAGGGACATTATTACTCATTACATTAAGTTTTACTAGTCATGAAATAAAACATAAAAATAAACCAAAAACATTTATAAATAAACATTTTTAACATGAATCTACAAATAACTTCTGAACCTTAATCAAAAGTTAGAATATTATTTCAGATTCTTAATTCTCATGCAAAATAACCTAGGGTACCTCACCAGAAGCACCCCTGAATTATTACTCCTTCATGTACTTCTGTGTACTCTGAGTGACACTTGCCCATTTTGCTGAAAACCCTCCCAGTTACATCATACTACATGTTGTGACAGGTCTACACATGTAATTAAGGTTCATGCAGTTCGGGAAAAATCTACAAATAAGGTTGACATCATTGAAACCTTAATTACATTGTCACAACAACTGTAACTGGCTGGTCAGCCATTTGTGGCCCTTTTTGGCCCAATTTGGCTAACTACGCCTGGTTAAGACCAGCCCACTGGTCATTAAAGGGTCCCAGTGACCAGACCATGGCTGCAGGTTCGTCACAGCACCCCTTAGTATGTGTTACAAGCCTCACTTCAGCCCTCTGCCACCTGTAACCAAGGACTACAGGTGTCTAGGCTGTGCTACAGGTTACCAATGCCTAGTAGGAGGCTTGCACCAGCCAAACAGAGTTCTGAGTTCGCCTCCAAGGGCCCAGAATGAGTATATAAGGAGCCCTTCTTGACCACGAACTCAAATTCCCCATCTTCATTACCATTTACCAGCAATAACCACCCCCAACAACCAGTTTTTCACCTGTTTTTGGCCCAGTTCCTGCTGTTTCTGTCTTGGATATCACCAACCCAACCATCAACTGTTCCCCAGCACTCTTCCAACACCTGTTACCCAGTTTTCTGAGCGCTCCCAGACCAGTTTTCACCCACCTGAAGTCCCCTTGGCTTGGAAATAGTACTAAGTAGGTAATATTTCCTTGATACTTCAGTTGTAGGCATTTTGTCTGGGCATACTCCTTTATACAAAGGACCAGATCATCAGGTACATCAAAAATACCCCTGTTTAACAGGTCCTGATTCCTTGGAGGGCACCATAAAAACCCCTGTAACTCAGGCCCCTCCTTTTATAAAAACTTAACAGTTTTTATTATTTCTTTTCTTAATATCAATTACCTCCCCATCCCAAGTGTTACCCACACTTGTACACATTTTTTCTTAGCTTTGCACCTGGTGTAGCTAGAAGAGTCAAGCTCTTGGCATCACCCAGGCTGACAATTAATCGAAAGCCATTTGAGACAGGGCTTGGGAGCAAGCGAAAGGCCCAGAATAACATCTGGACTCATACAAGCGAGCTCAATGTCCAGATGCCGATTTTTATAAGAACAAATCAATCAATACGTGATCTGTTGGGTTTGTAATTATAAGCATCTAAATCTGAACAGGCGAGCAATCCCCCAATCAGCACTGGGAATACACAGTCTGTCTTTCCCCATCATGCTCAAGTGTCCAGGTCAAAGATCTTTCTTTCAAGAGGGGTTGAGAAGCTTACAAATGTATTAATGTATCAGGTAAATCAATCTGATCAGATATATGGCCAGAATTCCTGAGTGCTGACTGGCCGAGAATATCTCAATCAGTCAGCTGAGTTATCCATGTCAGAGCATCATAGATGGTTTTTTGTTTCTTTAAAAAAAATGAATCATTGTCTTGAATCCCAATAAGGACATAGTTTCAGTCAGCTTTTGTTTACAAGAGACTGATCATTCCAAGGGATCACTGCAAGGAATTATTAATCTGACTCACTTTGAACTTCTTACAAATCTTTTGACCATCAGAACCAAGCAGCTAATCGAGGCTGGTTTCAAGAGTTTCCTTGATCAATGCAATTCCACCGTCAGTGATCATTTTCCATCTTCTACTAATTCATACTAGTTTTTGAGTCTTCCAATTGTTGATGAGCATTAATTGACCAACATCTGGTCTGTTTTTTAAGGACTTGGAGAAATGACTGCCAACCTTAAGGAATGTCCTGACCTGAGGACCATATCTCAACAGCCCTGGGACCAACACTGGGAAGTTACATATGTCACAATATCGGGAGGGATTTTTGTAACATAACTTCCCAGCGCATTGGATAACAACATTAGCATGATCCAGAAGGCTATGTTTTTTACATTTGAGTAATGTAACAAGAGGGATCTACACTTTGTTATGGAAAAAAACAACGTAAACAGCACATTATCCACATTGCGTGAGGGTAAACCCCCTTGTTATGTGTTTGTTATCCACACTTAATTGTGGTGGATAGCGTAACAACAATAAAAAAAAGTGGAAAAAAGAAAAAAAAGAAAACATAACAGAAAGGCTTTTGCGGTTATTGTAACACTAACAGCCACAATTCTGTTGAATTTTTGTTATGCTACCGTTAAGGGTAGTGTAACCTCCCATTGTTTCTGGGACCATCCTAGGAGTCATCTTCCCAATTCTCCCCAGGGGGATGGGAGTCTTTGTTTTATTTTTCCCTTTCACCTTGGGAGTTGTGGCAGACCATTGAGCTGCGCAGCTAGAAGCAAGACCTCTTGGTAAGCAGGTCATTGAACTGCTTGGCCAGAGGCAAAACCTCTAAACAAGTAGGCCATTGACCTTCTCAGTGTAAGGTCTTGCCTCTTTCAAAACAGTTCAATGTCGTACTCATCAAGAGGAATTCTTCACGTAGAGTTAGATCACCTCCAAGACACCTTTATCTTTCAATCTTGGTGCCCACTGCCAATTGAAGATCTGTTGGCAACAGAGCCTTGTAAAAAATGTTTTTTGCCACAATGAAAAAGACTTCTCTATAATACAAGATGTTCATACCCTTCAAGACATAAGGATCCTCCAAAATACCAAACCCAAACTTGTAGAAGATATGATCATTGCTGTACATCTGTTGTCACTACAATATTGACAGGGCCTCTGGATGCATGGCCTCTCTTGCTTCTGTTAATAAAATGTCCAATGGCAAAATGAGGGAAAGGTATGGTTTCCTTCCTGTTGTGGTATTTATTTGTTAGATGCAATCCTCTGGATAGTCTGAGTTGGATGGTTGTTGCCAATAGGAGAGGTGGGGGCACATCATTTACAGCAAGGAAACCAAAATTCAAATAGTGAAAAAGTATTAGGAGAAACATAGTCTCTTCTAATCCTTTTGAAATGATTCATCCTTTTCACCATTTGATTTTCCATCAATCTACTCTTGAATCAATGAAGAGTTATATTCTAGCTCAGGGGTGACCAAACTGGCGAGGAAATAAAATGAAATTGTGGCAAGATTTTATACTGGAAATAATTTGATTACATGAGGTGATTTGGGTCAGGGGTAAAGCCAGGCTCAAGGGTTTACTAACAAAATATTCTTAACCGGAGTATTTTGAGTAATGCAATCAACACATATGTAGCTCTCAAGTGTTTATTGGACTCCATTATGACAGGCAAGTTGATTTTCAGACAGGATAAATATGTACCTGGGAGTTTGTGCAGTGTCAAAAAAGAATGAACAAAGTAAAAAGTGAACTATTGTGTGAACTTGAGGGTTCAAATAGGTTAAGACTTGGGATAAATCAAACAAAAGCTCATGAATGGAGCCAAATTACAGAGTAATGGGAAAATACATTGGGACGCTTCAAGATGTGCTTGAGCAGCAAAGCTACTTATGGCCTCTATTTGGGTGTAATAGGGGGGGGGGGTTCACAATAGTGCTTCCCAAGCAAAGGTGGCGGCTTCCACAAGAATTTTCCATGGTCCTGTGCTGAAGCACCACAGATGCTGCATAGCTGGCAAAAGGCTGCATCCAGTAGTTAAGAAATATTGCAAGGAAGAAAAACAATAACAGGGACAGCAAGCAAGAAACACTATTGTGAACCCCCTAATGTGGTTGGAAACCAGTAATATGAAGTATCTACACCAAAAAATAAATAAGTAGAAAAACAATCCTGCCACCAAACTTTCCAAGAATTCCTGGCTCTGGAAATCTGGACCAACTACAGGATTTTTGGAGGGATTTACTTGATGGAAGCATTTAACCAGGCCAAGGAAGGGGGTTAGTGATATTGTTGAAATGATAAGTATCTCTGCAAAATGCAGAGCTGGCCAGCAGAAACCTGCAATGATCATGCAATAAGAGAGTGAGATAAAGTGAGATCTCCAACAATAGCGGGGTTCACAATTGAACTTTTCACTTCTGAGTTTGATAAAATTCTTTTGTGGTCTTTGCATAGAACCGGCAAACTCAGGAGACCTTCAGCACTACACCTTGACTGGACAAATCAACTTCACACTTGCTACAGGTTGTCAAAGTGTTTGTTGGACCGAGACAACCAAGTCTCCAAAGGCTTGATTGAATCAATTTGATGAGCTCAGCAAGATAAAAAATGTACCACTATTGTAAGCATCCATAAGTACTTCTGAGTTTCACAAGGGTTGCTTCTGGCAAATTAATTGTGAACCCTGCTAATGGATTCTTATTTTAGAAAAAGTCCACTTTCTTTTTGTGTGAAATTTGGTTGCTTGGCTGCAAATCCTTTGCTTTAAATGGGGATATTTCTGACTGAGCATCTTGTACCACCCTGGCCCATTTGGTTAGACTTGCCTTCCGATTCATAACCCTTGTTCTGGCCGACCCTGTGTTCAATTCTCAAGTTGCAAACCTCATCAACTTGCCACCATGCCCACCATCAAGTCAATCTTCCTTCTCACCGTCGCTTGCTTGCTATCCGCTCCGATGGCGAAGGGGAGTCCACGCATGGACCCCGCATCATCCGGCTGCGCCCATTCGATCCGAAGCATCGCATCGAAGGACTTTACATGCCAGGCCACCTACATCTGCTATGCTGGATATAGTCATCCATGCGGATATGGGCTGACTGGAGAGGTTGAACAGTGCGAGAGCTGCAATGACTACTCCATCCTCTCGATAAGCGCCTGCCCTTATGGAAATCACCCCTCCAGGTCATGTGGAAGACATGCTGTGGTTAATCCACGAGCTGGAGAGCGCCGAAAATACACCGATATGAGCTGAACAGTCCGGCTTCAACCAATCTTGGAGCACCCCCGCCGAGGAAAACCCCCTTTTTTGCTGTTTGTACGCCGTCAAGAGTCTGCAATCGCCTAACCCAGTCAATTGGTATCCTTCCCTTGCTGGAGGTGAGGGAAATTTCGCTACTGATTCGAAAGGTTTGAGGCTGTACATACATAGGTTGGAGGGTCGATTAAGGAAAGCTTCCGGGTAACTTTCACCTCGATCTCTCTCGACGACCCTCACAAGACTTGCCGGGGCTTGGTAACACCCGATCTTATTTGTTGCAACTCCTTGGTTTTTGATGAGGCTCAAAGCTGCCAGACGTTGAGGTCGGTTATCTGGGTCCAGCTGTTTTTCTGGGCCTTTTGATCGCACCCCAGCCCTGTCTCTCATACTTTTTGATTCATGATTTTGGAGGAGGGGGATGGATGTCCGACTGCTGCTGCAGGTTCATGAGACCCTGTGAGGAACAATTGAAGCCCTATCGGTGTCGAGGACGGGCCCATCAATACTAATTCTCGACATCCCTTCCCCTAATCTAAGCGGTCTTGAACATGACTGCCGCTTTTCTCTCCCTGATTTGTGTTTTTCATATCTCTTTTGTCACGCTGTAATCGGCAGCATAGCAATCGGTTCCGATTCTGCTGAACATTCTCAACCAATTCTCGCAACTTCGCTCAATTACAAAAGTTAATGTTGTTCTTGTAATTATTCACTAGCGTCATTGTATCTCCAATGCTCGTCAAAGCATTGAACTCGTTCAATGAATGTGCAGCCAATTTGCATCGAGAAAGAGCAAGGAAAGTCGGGAAGGGATACCAATGGGTTTCGGAATATGGATCGGAGAATGAAATAAAAAGCAGGGGAATACATGTATATATATCGTTGAGGCACGTGCAGAGCTTTTGGATGACCGAAGCGGTAGGGATGACCGGAGCGGTAGGGATGACCGGTGGGGCCCGATGGCCGATGGGTTGGCCGACAGCTTGATGAAGCTCATCCAGGAATTCGCTTGCGATGGGAAAACGAGTTCGAGGAAGATGACACTCTTTTAAGCGGAGAAGTCATGCGTTCTGGAAAGCCGATCGGATGATGGTCAACTGCCCCCAATCTGTGTACAATAAGCTGGCGAACAGATCCGTGCTGAATCAGTCATGTGCTTCTCTCGGCCGTTGTTCTTCTGATATCGAAAGATGAAATATTGTAATCTGTTAATCGTGCAACGTTCCACAGTACTCCGTCTCCTCGATCGAAAGAAAAAAAAAATCAAACAACGAACTATACCTGTTGGGTTTAACAACAGGTTTGTAATGAATCTGAACAGGCGAGCAATCCCCCGATCCGCGCTGGGAACATGGAGTCTGTCTTTCCCCATCAAGCTCAAATGACAAGGTCAAAGATCTTTCTTTACAGAGGGGTTAAGAAGCTTACAAATACACCACAGGTGCAGGAAAACGTTTCGAAGCGGTTAAATTGACCGCTTCAGAACTTTTTCAATTGAATGGCAGGGGACGTCGCCCTGGAAGTCGGCGCAGAAAGTTTTTCAAAACGTAACAAGAAACGTTTGTGATTTTGTTTAAAAAAACGGCATCGAGACCTCGAGTCAACCGAAGCGTTTGCGAGAACGTTTTGATGTGGTTAATTAAACCAAAGCAGAACTGACAGATGACCTTAACGTTGATCAAAACGTTTGTGTAGTGGTTTTAAAAACCAAGATTCTAGTGCAAATCTGGGTTGAGGTTTGGTTGGAAAAACCAACACCCAACCAGTTGACAACGAAAATGGTTGGACATGAGTGTAATTGGTAGTTTCATAACTTTTGACAATGCGCATCACAATGCGCATCGATTCGCTCGCCCGTGCGATATAGATTTGTATTTCCCTTTGGGTTAATTTTTAAATGGCCATGGAGTGTTATAGTTACATGGATAACAGGCAATGAAATCAGAAGAATAGGACTAGCGATAAAGACTTGAGATAGAGGGATATAATGGGTATTCGAAGATCAGAACTAGAAATGGGTTCTCTAAACAAATCATGAATGTGAGACACAAGAGAGAGATATGATCAGCTGGCAGTACCGGCTGCTGCTTGAGTGAATTGAGTAGACGTGTCTCCTCCGAGTCTGGCTATCTCAGTGGCGATTTCGGCTTCGGTTGGAAGGGCACAGTCGTCCGGGTCAACCTCGTCCAAGGCGGTTTGTCCATCCCAGAGTCGCTCATCTTTGGCTAGGATCAGCTGCCCAAAGGCATACCTGTACATGCGGGTTTGACCTACTCGTGAATTGAGATCATCATTGATTTGATGCCAGATGGTTGGGGTTTCCCCCTTCTTCTTACCCTCTCGTTGGATACGGTTGAGGTTGATCATAAACCTAATATACGCGAGTCGGGCCCGTGTAGGCGGAGGGACCTGCCCATAGACCTGTTGTTTTGGTGTGTTCTTGTATCGGGGGTGCATCGCGATGAAGACAGACGAGACAAGTTCCTTAATCGAGGGGACTTTCTCTGGTGGAGAGGGTAAGTTCGTCTGAATCAAGCTGGAGAGCTTGAATTTGTCAGCCTTGAGCTGTTGTTTGATGAGATTATCAAATGAGTTGAGCCAGGCAGGATTGTCATTGTAGTTGCTCGGCAGCTGTTTGAGAAAGCGAGGGCTTTGCGAGTCCAGAAGGGTCTGTTGTTAGGATGTTAGTTAAGCTAGTGGTTGGTCTGACTATGAGTGGTGATGGTAGCGCTGACCTTCATCATCGAGTATGGCGATATGGCGTCTAGATTGGTGCGGGAACCTCTTTGTCCGTAGATGTCGAGTTTAGGATTGAGCAGGATCAACCGGATGTTGGAGCTCACAAGGGTCTTGAGGTTGGGGGTGTCTTCGTTGGTCAGTACCATCGTGGTTGCTGGGGATGCTGTGTTTGCACGGCCTTGAAGCAAGATCAATGCAACGGCAGCTGGCCATCGCTCTGTCTCCGGAATCTGATAGGAAGTGGTCAGTAATTGGGCTGTTTGAGTGAGGAAGAAGGAAGGGTGCTTACACTGAAGAGCGGTTGGCCAATGCGGGCAAACTCCTCATGATTGTCAAGGTTTTCTTGCAGTTGTTGGTAATTCTCGCGGATATAAGTGAGGGTTTCGGAACGGATCGAGGTTGAGGCCGAGTCCGATGAGCTTGAATGTTGACTAAGGTTGCTGACTGAGTCACGAGTGGAATTCCGGGGGTAGGGAGACAGATTGGGGAGACTGGTTTGTGATGGGGTTCGTACTGGGCCGATCCCACCTGCCTCACTGGCTCCAATTTGACCTGGATGCCCATGTGTGGGGGCTGGGGTCGGATAAGTTTCATATGTCAGTGTAATGGTGGTTGAGATGTTTGCTGGGACACTTACTATGCTGGGTCCGATGCCCAACAGAGGTCATCGGCAAGGGGGATGTTGATTGGGGGGTTGAATTATCCGCGATTTGCATGGCTCCTTGTGCTCCATTGCTACCGACTTGGGCTGGGGGGCCTGTGAGGCTATGTGCGGGGTTCGTTATGTGAAACAGAGATCCGGTTGAATGGGCCACAGTCGACCTTTGGGATGGTGCAAGAGATTCAGACGGAATCCCTGGGCCTGCCGTTGAAATCGCGCCAAGGTGGGGCGCACCGGAGGCAGTTTGATAGTGGTATTGGTGGGATGGGTTGGGTGCAATGAAGCGAGTTGCAGGTCCTGTAGTGTTATGGTATGTGTGGTGCTGCACATCAGTATGGTTGGGAAGTGGGGCAAGGTCGGGCCGGAAATCTCCACTGAGCGACTCCCATCCATCAGCGACTGCAGGGTCCCAGTCGAGTTCCTGATGGTGATGGCTGGCCATCAAAATGAAACCTGAGGGGTGGGTGGAATGTCAACTCAATAGATTAGGTGGTATAAGATCGGAAACATCACTCACTGTCCTAGGTCTGTTTGATAATATCCAAGGCAAGCTGTTTGGAGGGGAAAGTGGTGTTCAATTGATGCGTGGTCGGATTTCGGAGATGGGGAAATGCCGGGTTTGAGGGTGGAGTGGTCTGGCTGAAACCTTCTCCTCATCATCTCCGATCTTTCGCTGCGAGCACTGCGGTGCGCACCGGCTGTGTCAGACCGCTGGGGTTCCCCCGGTGTCCTCCAGCTCATTTCCCCTGCTGGACGGTCACTCTAGAGAATAATCCACACACTCCAACAAGTATAGCCAAACAAATTTCAGCAGCTCCTTTATTATTCTGTCAGACACACTGACTACGCAGCCGGGCCTCATGGACGATGACATTCTGGGTCTGCTGCCTTCACTTTGTTGATTTCTTTCACATGTTCCTTGGGTTGAAATGTGCTTTTTTGGGTCAATATTAATTATTTTATTGTGTTGTTACACATTGCAGGTTTTGAAAAACTTCCCAAATACCAAGGACAGCAGAGATACCGGTGCCTCATATGTGACAAAAGGACTTGTTTTGCTAGAAATATTCCCGGACACCTGAGAAGCAAGGGTCATCAAGATAAATTGGCGCTCCTGAATGCTTTCAATTTACCACAGCTTCAGCAAGATCATACAGGTGCTCAGGAAATTGACAGTGTCAGAGAGGAAATCAGATTTGCCAATGATACAAGAGGTTCACCAAACGATGAAGTCAACCACGGTCCAGATAATGCCGACCCTGCCGAGTGGGGCCTTGACTCAGATTTGGATGACTCAGGATCTTCCGATGATGGTAGTGAGATCAGTTATGACTTGGATGATTGGTTCAATGGTCAGGATGATGAAGAAATGGGCTCTGGTGCTTCAACAGGGCCATCTCCCACGAATTCTGACAGGGTTGATTTGGACTCCGCATGGTACCCTTTCGCCAATAAAGAGGTGAGTTGAGAAAATGAATCATCACTTTTGGGGTTTAAGCTGGCAGCTCATGATTTGTAATTTGGTCCCCATGTCCTCCGGGTAATCTAGTATCTAATTGCATCCCTGATGTTGGGCCAATTACACAGTTTCATGTCGCGCAAACTGTATGATAAAATTCGATCTATTTTAATATTGGGCCACTTGGATCTACCACACTGGGACACAATTAGGAGGACCAGAACTGGCATTTCAAAAATGTTAAATGCCGAATTGAAGCAGAACCTGTCTGTGTTGAACAACAAGACTTTCATGATAAGTTTGACAAATATCATTGGCAATGTAAGTCAAAGTGATTGAAAACGTATGGTAGTGTTACTGGAAAAAATCCACGCTGAATTGTGATTCATGAATTCTCACAGGAACTGGCCAACCCCTATGTAGTGCCAGACTTGGAATTCATTCCTCACGACCCCAAGGGGAAAAACATCTATGCCCTACACCAAAGTGTAAAATGGAGGGAAGATCTATCGCCCGAGACAAGAGTGCAAATGGTTGAATATTCAGGAAAACATTGGTACATATACGAGCCGGTCATGCTTAGATGGCAAACCCAGCCAATTGTGGTGCCCATTTTTTTCTACAAATTTAACAATGAAGTCTATTCCAAATGCATTCAGCCAAAATTTGAAACCTTACGAACCGAAGATGCACAGCCTGGTGAATTTATCATATATATACCAAACAACATCAAATTCAATGATGGCAACCTCATCGAAGTACCCGTATCAGACTTTGGGCTGCTGCATTCAGAAATCAGAACTGGTCGAGGGGAGAGATTTATGGACAAATGCAGACACCATATAAATAGCAAGTTCAATACCTGTTTCATCCTTTTTTTTCTTGCATGATTCAACAAAGCTAATCTGGTACTTTACACACTCTTGCAGCTCTGGGGCGTGGGGCACCCACCATAAGATATGAAGTGCCTAATCCATGGCGAACACGCGCGGGCGGAAAAGTGATTCGCCATGTCCCCATCACATTATATTCTGATGATACCTCTGGAAACAAGTCTAAAAGATGGAATAAACATGTCTCATACTGCTTCACCCTCAGTGGATTACCACCGGAAATGTCAAACCAGGAATACAATGTGCACTTTATATCGACATCAAACAGAGCTGGGCCTTTGGAGCTTGCTGAGCCCATAGTAGAAGAGCTAAAGTATGTCACCCAATTCACAAGTATCTGCACAGCCCATAATGTTGAACATTTGCATGACCTTTTGTTGCAGTGAATTAGCCACCAAAGGCTCAGTTGCATATGACATCAGCCTTGACCAAGAAGTGCTGTTCATGAGTGTACCACTCTGTTTCTTGGCAGATTCTCCAATGGCAGCTGAGATTACCAACACACCAAACCCTGGTTCCTCAAACAACCCCTGCCGTATGTGTCATTTGAAATGCCCCCAAGGCGGAGAAAGAAGCTCCATGAGCTATATCCGAGAATTTTTTGGATGTCCAAACCTACCAGGAAAACGAATTTGGAGTGAAACTGTTGCAAATACCCAGGACTTGTGGGTCACCTCTCAATCTAGCACCCAGAAAGAATATGAAAGAAAACAACAACTTTACGGCCTCAAGGACAGGATCAATTCCCAAATCATAGAACTGAAACACTCAACACTTGATGAAAGGCAACGTATTATTCAAATGCAGCAGGACACCCCACTCCGAATATTCAACCCATGTTGCTTCCTCAAAGGCTTTGATGGCTGCCTGGACACCCCGGTTGAAATACTACATGTAATCCTTCTTGGAGTGGTCAAGTATTTGTGGAAAGACTTCATGAGTAGAATGAATGAAGATCAACTAAATGAACTTGAGGCACGATGGGGAGCATTCAGCACGGAAGGCCTAAGTGTGCCACCCATTCAGCCCCGCTATATGATTGCACACTACAAGAGTCTCGTAGGCAAAGAATACCGGTTGATCCTTCAGTCTGCCCCATTTGTATTATTTCCTCTGATGACAATGGAGGAGATAGACTTATGGACTGCATTATGTCACATTGGAAGTATGGCTTTTCAGACACACATAGAAAACATGGATGAATACATATGGAAACTCACACATTGGATTAAGGTCTTCTTATTTAATGTGGCCCAAATGAATGCAAGGTGGGTCAACAAGCCAAAATTCCACCACTTAATTCACTTGGCAGAATCTATCAGACGATATGGACCTGCGGCCTTGTTTGCTACAGAAAAATTTGAAAGCTACAATGGTGTGGTGCGGAACAGCTCAATCCACTCGAACAGACAGAGCCCAGGCAGAGATATTGCAACTAGCTTCAACAACTATCACATCATGCGGTGGTTGTCATCAGGAACTAAACTATACAACCATGAGACCAAAACATACTTCACAGCTTCACCTGAAATTACAAATATATTCAAACACAATTTGAACATTCAACAATCAATGGGATACAACACCCGCTCATTACCAAATGGCCATCAGAGGCCTACTATCCATGGACCCCGTGGGAAACCAACCCCATATGAAGATATTCCAACTATTTTGAAAAGCAATTTCCCTTCATATCCCATCCAGAAAATATCAGCCTTGAAGGTAAACCAAAAGAATGTCATCAGGCCTGGCACATTTGTACTGGTCAGTAATGTTTTATCCCATGAATCTATATCCAGATAATTATGAGTCTGATCTCAACAAAAAACAATAATTGATGACAAAAATCAGGAAGAGTCCCCCAGTAATCAACATGGGACCATTGGATACGTGGAAAACATATGGGAAGTAGCCAGAAATCAATTTCACGTTCAACTTAATCGATGCCAAAAAACTGGAGTTCTACCACTAAATGGCACGACAATCCTTGTCAAAACCTTCACATATGGATATGTACCAGCCCAGGTAAGTTCATGAGTAATGAACTCACCCAATGTGTGTTTATATATAAAACCCAGCTGACAAGGATGGCAACCACTTTCAAAACAATCCAACACATCTAGAGCATCATATGCAGCTTGAATGTTCAGCATAACTGCTTTCAATCACAATGCTCAGTAGGCAGAAGAACCATGCCTCCAACAGGAAGACAAGAGGGCAACTCCATCAGTCATCATATCCAACACAGAGACACTAACAGTTTCCTGTTAAACAAATTCTCCCACCATGTCCCATCCCATCACCAAAATCACTCAGACACAACCATTATCCCCATCCCAAGTGACATGATGGATGCAGCAATGGAACAAGGCCTTTATGTATGGGAGAGAGAGAAAAATGGAAACAATTAAAACACAACCACACCAGCCTCAGTACTGATTAAAATTTCAACACATCTTGTCCTTGCAATAAGTATATGCATCTGTGGTATCTCAAATTACATCCATGTGCCAAGTGCCTTTGGAGTTTACCAGCTTGATATGGTAAGTGATAGGAGTATTTCCACTTATTCCCATTGTTTCATTCCCAGTTTTCCTCATTGTAGGACAAACAAGATCATCAGATTGGAAACATAATCTCAAAGAAAAAATAAGGAAAAAGAAAGTAGTATAGTAATTCCATATAATTAATCTTTGATTCCTAGATTTCCCATGACGTAGATAGAAGAAATTTCGATGAGGAAACAATAAATCAATAAAATTCTTAGTAGATGATAGATTTGCCAATTGAATAGGGTATATCATGTGAGCAATGCAATGACCAATTTATAATTAATCAGAAATAACCGAAAAAAGCCAATCAATTAGACTGCCGGTCCAAATCGTTCTTCAACCTGCCTAACAGTCGCAACGACACCAGCCACTATCAAACGAGCTGCACCCCGGCGAAATCCAGCTTTGACGAGGTCGGCTTCAGTCATTCCTTTGAAGGCCGACCAGTGATAGAAGTCGTTGTTGTCGATGACCGACACAGTGTGTTCGTCATCCGGGCGCAGGTGACAAATAAAGAAAAACTCAAACATGCTGATATCGACACTGGCTGAGTAGAGACGTTGACGTTTAGCGGGTGGTTGGTGATCAGAGGCTGCAGATTCATCATTGATAGCTTCCTCATTGGTCGCACAAATATCGGTGTGAGTGGTGTGGATGAAATTGGCCTCGGCCTCGCCCTCTGTCTCGGTATCGGTGGCTTGAATCCGCTGAAGCCCAACCAATCTTGTCAGTTGCCTCATTTACATTGGTCAGATTAGAAACAAGACATACCTCTGCTATTGCTTGATCATCATCTGTCAACTCATTGTCGGTATGATGGGGACGTGACCTCGCGTAAGACTCATAGTATTCTTCAGTGTGCTTGATTCGAACATCGCCAACAAATCCCTTTTTAGCATTCAAGAGCTTGCGTCGGAAGGCGGCGTACTTGGCTGGGAAAGGGTAGAAGTAGACGGGACCATAGGGACTACGAGTGGTGATGCGCCCGACCCACACGAGATGTCCTAGTTTCATCTCGTACTTGATTATGCCCGCCACGTCGTGATCTGCAGGAACCGTCTTAAGCAGCTTGAAAACTTTATCCTGGAAGGTCTTATACGAGATCGACCGGGTAGTGACATCCAAGTAAAGCATTGGGTTTGGAAAAAGATCCGAGTGCCTGCTTCCAACGTCCGGGTTAGCGAGCTGCAGGATCGTATCCACGATCCACGGGTCGTAGCGGATGAGGAGCCGCAATGTGGAAGGTTTGGGGGCTGCAGTCGGTTGCTCGGTTGCCTCAGTTGAATGTTTGATGGGTCGGGCAGGAACCATCTCGCCGGGGGTTTCCGACTGGATCCTTGCCGCAGGCGTAGTTGGTATCACCGGTGCCGAGCTATTCTTATCGGGCAACTTGCTCGGTGAATCGGCGGTAATCTTCTCGGCAGGCATCTTCGGCGTGGTGGTTGTGAAGTTGGACATCTCGGAGGGGGTTTCGAGAGGCAGCGATGAGGGGACAAGGGACTTTGAGATTTTTCGATCGAGTCCACGACTTCCGGATGGATCGGACACGAGACCAGCAAAAGGTTCAAAAAAGGAATGAGAAACCTCTTGATAACTTTTCAAAAGTTGGTCAATTGGTGTTGATAACTTTTCAAATGTTGGTAATCCGGATTACTAACTTTTCAAAAGTTGGTAATCCGGATTACTAACTTTTCGCATTCCAAAAGTTGAAGCGAAGTAATCTAACCAAATTCCGAACATTCCTGGTCGAAAAGGTTAGAGGACCGGCTGAAAACCTTTCTCGAAACTTTTCTCGGGCCAGAAAGTTGAGCGAACCACTTGGTCAACCAACTTTTTCAAAAAAGTTGGAGATCTGGTTCACAAGAACTTTTCTTGCACCCGTGGTGTATATTAATGTATGAGGTAGATACATACATATTCATCGAACCGGAATTGCTGAGTGCTGACTGGCCGAGAATCTCTGTATCAGCCAGTTGAGTCGTCCATGCCAGAGCACCACAGCCCCAAGAATGTTCCGGGCGGAGGGTGGGTGAATACATTTTAGTCAATATCATCATCAGAGCTCATTGCTCATTGACTATCACTTCGGAGATGCTACTGCTCTGCATGCGATCGATCCGTTCGGGAATTGGATTGCACGAGACCAGAGAGGCAACTGTGGTAAGTGGGACTGGAGGGTGGAAGGATATAAAAGGCTGTCGATTCCTTGACTTCAAGGCTCTTATCCCCACCAACAGCATCGGCTCAACTTGTGTGAAGACTAGGAAAGCAGAAAAAAATAAAGAATTATAAGCTGATACTCTTGAAGTTCTCATCATGCTTGTTTCCTCTCATCACCTTGCTCTTGCTACGTCTCTGCTCACTGGAGCCTGGTTGGCTCGTACGACTCTCGCAGTGAGCTGTGATATTGGCGAATTAGTCGATAGGAAAGAGTGCGATGCGTAAGTACTCTCTGTCTCCTCCAATGTCAATCCGTTCAATCTCCCCGAACTGATCGGTTTCCATGTATTATCCAATTCAAAAAAAATCTGGCAATCGGCGTGTGCTCGATCAACCAGCGCCGTCGCAAGTATCGTTTATGATAAACCCTCCAACACTCTCGACAGAGTCTCGAGCAGGTTTGCGAAGCTCTCGGGAAATTGTACCGTGTGTTGAATTGAATTCCTCAGTTTTTAATTCGCTTGTTCAAGCTAGGCTATGCTTTCTGTCGGTGGAGACTAATGGAAGACGTTCTCCAAAAACAAACAGATAATCCTCTCAAATCCCAGAAAAGACGTAGTGTCAGTCACCTTCTACTAAGAAACTAATCATTCCAAGGGATCGGGTGTAAAGATAAACTCATATCATTTGGACTTGTTGCGACCTTTTCGACTATCAGAACCAAGCAGCAAATCGAGGCGGGTTTTAAGAGTATCTTCGACCAATGCGAGCCCAATGTGAGTGGTCATTTTCCATCTATTTACTACTAACAATCGCAGTGGTTTTTGAGTCTGTTGTTGATTAACACTATTTGACCGACATCCGATTGATTCTTTCTATAAATACGCATACACATCCCAATTCACTTCACAAGGCGGGTGAAAATCCTTTGTTCAATTCAGTTTACCTTTTAAACCAAAACCATCAATCAGAGCATGATACCAATTACTTCCCTCCTCGAACTTTGGCCTGTGGTCTTAACATTGGGGCGCCGTTGACGGTCGATAAAGATTGTCAAAAGTAAGTGCGATAATGATGATCCCAGAAGCAGCTGCACCCCAAGAGCTTCAGCTGACTTGTTTAGTTTTCCTCGACATCAGTGCGTTCAATAGTATCTCGGTCGATAGTAAGGGTCGATTGCTGGGTGATAAGGGTCAACCGGCACCTTCCATATTGAAGACGTTGAAAACCTGCACGGTGAGTTTTGCTTTAGTTGCTTTTCATGGACTGTATTGACTTGCTCACTTCACGAACATCAAAATCACACTGGCTTCTTGGTAGGTGCTCATATACACGACCGACGACTCCCCACTCATCGCGTAAGTTGACAATCTCAGAGCCCCTCAGGCTTCATAGACTCTTCTCCCCCCAAAACTAAAAAATCTACCCTGCCCGACAAAAAAACCTCATTTTTTCTTCTGTAATCTACCTGGAAACTATTAGGAAAAAGAGCGAGATCGGTTCAGTAGTTTCGAAGACAATCAAAGAATGTAAAGGAAAGGTAAGGAAGCATTGATCAAGTCGAAGTTCTTAAACATCCGAAATTGTTAAATACTGAAACCCTCCAACATATTCCAACAGTCTGGCGTGATAGGTTTAACGAAGGGAGCCAGCGGCAACAATGGTTTGACCGTGGTCAGAGTAAGAAGTAGCCTACGATGCGGTTCTCGAGCCGATTCTGGGGGACAATACTGTGCTCCCTAGAGGCTTATTTATAATCGTGTATCCAAATAACGTTTATCACTCACTGATCATAAAATCATCCTCAGAGAGTTCAACCCTAACATGTCAAAAGGACTTTATTATAGGCTCTAATCCACTGAAGGTTCAGGGCACTACTTGTTTTCCTTTCCCCATCAACCACCACTTTCTTCATTCAAACCTTTGAAAATGCTACATATTCTCAAAATCATGTAAAACAAAGCAAATATGAATCAATTCATCACCTACTTATTGAAAGCTTTTCCTCTCTCTCTGGAATTGAAACCTATTTGAAAATATAAGTGATAAGAGCTCAAAAGTACAATGCATTGAACTACATTCCATTTTTTTTTTGGACAAGTGGAGGACTTCCCATCACAATTATAGATGTCACTTGGCACCTACCAGCAGGTACCTGCTACACTTTCAGAAGGTGACCTGGACAGTTCTATCCACCAGCTTGCAAGGTGGAGCATGCAGAACTGTTTCTTTGACAGTAATACATCCTTCAAATGCACAGCTGGTGGCTGGAGGTGTTCAGGTAATTGTTTGAAGTTGTGGCAGGTACCTGCCGGCAGGTGCCAAGTGACATCTCTAATCACAATTAAGAGTGGTTTTTGGACCCCTCTCAGTTCTAAATTAACACTAAAATTAAAACCATAAATTTCTCAGATGAGGAGGGCCTTCACTGCAAGGCATACAAAGATTTTTTTGTCGAAAATTAAGCCCCTTGTTGGTTGAAATCAAATTTTGTTAGGGTTGTAAATGCTGAGGGGAAGTAACCAAGTGTCTGCATATTCATCTTCAATTCTTCTTTAGCCTGACCTGGACATGCTATCAAAAAAGAATTTCTCAGGAATTTTTAGTGCGTTGATAAACGCACACCCTCTCCCCTCCCACCCACCCACACCCCCACCCCTTCAAAAGGGGCGTGCGATTGCACCCGCCCGTCTCTGAGGGGCGGGTTTGATTGCACGCCCCTCGGAAGCCTGATTTTCCGAGGAATCAGTCTTCTGAGGGGTGTGCAATCAAACCTGCCCCTCAGAGACGGGCGGGTGGGATTGCACTCCAACCAAGAACCAAGGGGAGGCGCTTGCGACTCGCCCTCCAAGAGGTCATGGCAGGCTGATGTAAGGAAAACACGCTGGAGTGTTTTGCTTGCATCAGCGCACCAATGACTCTTTCCTCCCGGCCTTCGAGACCTGTACAGTCTTGATGGCCGGGAGAAAATCTCCCTGTCATTAAGACCATAGAGTCTTGACGACTGGGAGAAATCCCTCCCGGCCATCAAGACTGTACAAGTCTCGAAGACCGGTAGGGAGTAGGGACCCCTCCCAGCTATCAAGATTCATGAACCAGGGGATGGAAGGCAGGAATATATAGATGACAGATCAAGTTGCTCACAAGAATTTTAGAGATCTCTTATCACAGTCAATACAAACCAAAAGCCCCAGCGCTCGGATGTTAGAATAGGAGAGTCCTCCAAAAGCATCATAATTGCAAGCCCCTGCGAGTCCCACAGATCTGCAAGAGAAGCCGCCAAAACACTGCAATTGGGAGGTGCCCTTCCTTGTATTTGCACACCGTTGGCCGTCGCCTGATTGTGGTGTTGGAGGCCAGAGGGTGGCCATAGTTGTACCCTTCCATCAGGGCCAAGAAAACACACACCATAAAAAGTATACAGTGTATCCTTCCCGGTCTTCAAGCCTTTTACAGTCTCAATGGCCAGGAGGTATTCCGCCCAATGGCTGGGAGGGAAAGCTCCTGGCCCTCCAGGCCAGGCATGCAGGCCAACCTGCCCTTTTTTGGGTGGGTTGTACTGCACACCCCTCTTGTTGCAAATTTCAGCAAAACCCGCCCAAAAAAAGGGCAGGTGTTACTTCCCGTCCCTTTTGGAGGGGCGGGAGGGGGGAGGGCGTGCGTTTATCAACACACAAATTTCTATTGTGTGGAAATTAAATGATCAAGATTGACAAGATAGATTACATAAATAATTCTTAATCTAGGCAATATGAAAATTTGGAGATGATGCGACATCTTTTGGCATTATTTTTATTTTTGATGATTTGAGAACAATGACAAGATAATATTAAAGTTCAAAACTCAAACCTCAAGCTTTAATTCTTGAGAACCTAAATCAAAATTGCATGCAATTATTCATAAGAATCTGGTTGAATTTAATGCATCATGATT